TTAATAACTTATATAATATATATATATATATATAGTATATATATATATACTATATATACATGTACATATACATATACATATACATATACATATACATATACATATTAATATACATATACATATACATATACATATACATATACATATACATATACATATACATATACATATACATATACATATACATATACATATACATATACATATACATATACATATACATATACATATACATATACATATACATATACATATACATATACATATACATATACATATACATATACATATACATATACATATACATATACATATACAAATACAAATACAAATACATAGAATGTACATATACATAGATATAGTTATAAATATAGGTATAGATATAGATAAGTATATGTGTATGTGTATGTGTATGTGTATGTGTATGTGTATGTGTATGTGTATGTGTATGTGTATGTGTATGTGTATGTGTATGTGTATGTGTATGTGTATGTGTATGTATATGTGTATGTGTATGTATATGTATATGTATATGTATATGTATCACACAATACAATACTTACACATAAGTACAACGTACCCAACCTACAACTCTGCCGTTTACTAAAGACAATATGTACATGTCAACGTGTCTGTCAAGCCATGTATGTATACGCATCTACTTGCAAAAGTATATAGCAAACCGTTCCATGTACATACATATATATACATATATATATATATATATATATATGCACATGTCCATACGTACCCAATTCCACACACATGGACCCATCATGCCCCATTCCCCCCACCCACAGGCGTGCCGCTGCCTTCGCCTCTGCTGTTTCCGGAGGGTAATGACTACATGGCCGCGTGCCTGGCCAGTGGTGAAGGGATAGTGGCGCTGCATGAGTTGCTGTCTGTGGTCTGCCCTCATAATAACATCATCGCGCTCCAAGCGCTGGAGCTTTGCGAAGTAAGGGTGTGGCGTCTCGACAGTGTGTGTTGTGTGAGATGGTGTGCGTGTGGTTGGTGGTTGTGTAGTGCTGCTATGTATGGCGCTGTCGTCGCAGCCACTGAAGCTGCATATGCTGGGTGTATTTGAAAGCGGGCGCGTGTAGGACCGGTTTACTTGCTCACTATATAGAAACCAGTCATAATTGCTGCATATATATGTAAATATGTATATATGTATATGTATATGTATATGTATATGTAT